TCACCTTCAAAACTACCATTAGAAAACATCTTATCTCCCTGATACACCCCGTCAACTAACTACACGAATACCACCTGGTGGTTCACACTTACACTCGCTCACTCATTTGACCATAAACAGAAATATTAATCTCAGTCTTAAAATAATGAATCCTGTGATACTCCAATACTGAAACTATATACTGTGCCAAAACAAAAGCATTCACATTGCTAAACTCACAAACTAGTATTTAGTCACTTAGCCATAATACCAACTTACCTCATAATTTGTAATATTTTACAATTAAGAATAAAACTAAGTACGTATGCCCGAAATGCCTAGCCATGCTAAGCGTTCTAGTGGTACACTCTGTAATCACAATTTTACTACATGTAAACCAAACAATAACCAAATTTCTGTAAACTCAGCATTGTAATCCTTATAGAGAATAAACTTTGAATTTGAATTTGAATCATGTAAAACAATTACAGGCTTTCGTTTTACACTCACTTGGCAGGACGGTAGTACCTCCCTGGGCGGTTGCTGTCTACCAACCTACTACCTGCTATATTTAATATATATTATTATATTACAGTTCATTTGGTTAAGCATAGATGAGCATCTTACACTACAAGAGGACAGTGCTTTGATGTTGGTGAAGGGCTCTTGATTCAAGGAATAGTATCTATCCTCCTCTCCCATTGATCACACTTGATTACCTCCCATTCCCTAGGTCCTGTATGACACCAATGGGCTTAGCACCTCCCCATGAATATAATAATGAAGCACATACTTCAGTAGGTTCGGCAAGTGAATGCCAGCATTAAGCTGAGTAAGATATGGTAAGGAACTGTAATCCAGTGCTTGTAAAATTATTATTTTTTTTATTATTATCACACTGGCCGATTCCCACCAAGGCAGGGTGGACCGAAAAAGAAAAACTTTCACCATCATTCACTCCATCACTGTCTTGCCAGAAGGGTGCTTTACACTACAGTTTTTAAACTGCAACATTAACACCCCTCCTTCAGAGTGCAGGCACTGTACTTCCCATCTCCAGGACTCAAGTCCGGCCTGCTGGTTACCCTGAACCCCTTCATAAATGTTACTTTGCTCACACTCCAACAGCACGTCAAGTATTAAAAACCATTTGTCTCCGTTCACTCCTATCAAACACGCTCACGCACGCCTGCTGGAAGTCCAAGCCCCTCGCACACAAAACCTCCTTTACCCCCTCCCTCCAAACCTTTCCTAGGCGACCCCTACCCCGCCTTCCTTCCACTACAGACTGATACACTCTTGAAGTCATTCTGTTTCAACTCCATTCTCTCTACATGCCCGAACCACCTCAACAACCCTTCCTCAGCCTCTGGACAACAGTTTTGGGTAATCCCGCACCTCCTCCTAACTTCCAAACTACGAATTCTCTGCATTATATTCACACCACACATTGCCCTCAGACATGACATCTCCACTGCCTCCAGCCTTCTCCTCGCTGCAACATTCATCACCCATGCTTCACACCCATATAAGAGCATTGGTAAAACTATACTCTCATACATTCCCCTCTTTGCCTCCAAGGACAAAGTTCTTTCTCTCCACAGACTCCTAAGTGCACCACTTACCTTTTTCCCCTCATCATTCTATGATTCACCTCATCTTTCATAGACCATCCACTGACAACGTCCACTCCCAAATATCTGAATACATTCACCTCCTCCATTACTCTCTCCCTCCAATCTGATATCCAATCTTTCATCACCTAATCTTTTTGTTATCCTCATAACCTTACTCTTTCCTGTATTCACCTTTAATTTTTTCTTTTGCACACCCTACCAAATTCATCCACAATCTCTGCAACTTCTCTTCAGAATCTCCAAGAGCACAGTGTCATCAGCAAAGACAACGTGCAACTCCCCCTTTGTGTGTGATTCTTTATCTTTTAACTCCACGCCCCTTGCCAAGACCCCCGCATTTTTCTTCTCTTACAACCCCATCTATAAATATATTAAACAACCACGGTGACATCCACATCCTTGTCAAAGGCCTACTTTTACTGGGAAATAATTTCCCTCTTTCTTACATATTTAAAACTTGAGCCTCACTATCCTCGTAAAAACTCTTGACTGCTTTCAGTAACCTACCCCCTACACCATACACCTGCAACACTGCCACACTGCCCCCTATCCACCCTGTCATATGCCTTTTCCAAATCCATAAATGCCACAAAGACCTCTTTAGCCTTATCTAAATACTGTTCACTTATATGTTATATGTAGGTTACTGAAAGCAGTGAAGAGTTTTTAACGAGGATAGGAGGCTCAAGTTAGAGTATGTAAGAAGAGGGAAATTATTTCCCAGTAAAAGTAGGCCTTAGACAAGGATGTGGTGATGTCACCGTGGTTGTTTAATATATTTATAGATGGGGTTGTAAGAGAAGTAAATGCGAGGGTCTTGGCAAGAGGCGTGGAGTTAAAAGATAAAGAATCACACACAAAGTGGGAGTTGTCACAGCTGCTCTTTGCTGATGACACTGTGCTTTTGGGGAGATTCTGAAGAGAAGCTGCAGGGGTTTGGGTGGATAAATTTTGGTAGGGTGTGCAAAAGAAGAAAATTAAAGGTGAATACAGGAAAGAGTAAGGTTATGAGGATAACAAAAAGATTAGGTGATGAAAGATTGAATATCAGATTGGAGGGAGAGAGTATGGAGGAGGTGAACGTATTCAGATATTGGGAGTGGACTTTCAGCGGATGGGTCTATGAAAGATGAGGTGAATCATAAAATTTGATGAGGGAAAAAGAGTGGTGGTGCACTTGGGAGTTGTGGAGACAAAGAACTTTGTCCTTGGGAGGCAAAGAGGGGAATGTATGAGAGTATAGTTTTACCACGCTTTTATATGGGTGTGAAGCGGGGGTAAATGAATGTTGCAGGGGAGAAGGCTGGAGGCAGTGGAGATGTCATGTCTGAGGGCAATGTGTGGTGTGAATATAAGCAGAGAATTCGTAGTTTGGAATTAGGGGAGGTGCGGGATTACCAAAACTGTTGTCCAGAGGGCTGAGGAAGGGTTGTTGAGGTGGGTTTGGACATGTGAGAGAATGGAGCGAAACGAATGACTTCAAAAATGTATCAGTCTGTAGTGGAAAGGGAAAGGGGGGGTAGGGTCCCTAGGGAAGGTTGGGGGGAGGGGGTAAAAGGGGGTTTTTGTGCGAGGGGGTTGGATTCCCGAGGGATGGTGAAAACGTGTTTGAAGGGGTGAAAGGAGACAAAAGGTTTTTAAAATTGACGTGCTGTTGGGTGTGAGCAAAGTAAATTTATGAAGGGGTTGGAAACCGGGAGGGGGATTTTAGTCTGGAGATGGGGAAATCGTGCCCGCACTCTGAAGGAGGGGTGTTAATGTTGCGTTTTAAAAAATGTAGTGTAAAGGACCCTTCTGGGAAGAAGTGATGGAGCGAAAAGGGAAAAATTTTTCTTTTTTTGGGCCACCCGCCTTGGTGGGGAACGGCCAGTGTGTAATAAAAAAAAAAATTATATGTTTCTTGTAAAAAAACCCGGTCCACAACCCCCTACCTTTTCCCAAAGCCTCCTGTTCATTTCTATTTTATTTTTTTTATCTTATCTTTAATTTTTTCAAAAAAACTCTACCATACACTTTTCCCGGTATACTCAACGCTTATCCCCCCATAAATTTTTTCCTCCTTTTTTCCCCTTTGCCTTTATACAAAGGAACTATGCATGCTCTCTGCCCAACCCTAGGTACCTTACCCTCTTCCATACATTTATTAAATAATTGCACCAACCCCTCCAAAACTATATCCCCCCCTGTTTTTAACATTTCTATCTTTATCCCATCAATCCCGCTGCCTTACCCATTTCATTTTACCTACTGCCTCACGAACTTCCCCCACACTCCAACTGGCTCTTCCTCACTCCTACAAGATGTTATTCCCCTCCCCTATACACGAAATCACGCTTCCCTATCTTCATCAAAAATTTAACAATTCCTCGAAATATTCCCTCCATCTTCCCAATACCTCTAACTCTCCATTTAATAACTCTCCTCTCCTCTTATTTTTAACTGACAAATCCATTTTTTTCTCTAGGCTTTCTTAACTTGTTAATTCACTCCAAAACTTTTTCTTATTTTCAACAAAATTTGTTGATAACATCTCACCCACTCTCTCATTTGCTCTCTTTTACATTGCTTTCCACCACTCTCTTAACCTCTCTCTTTTTCTCCATATACTCTTCTCTCCTTGCATCACTTCTACTTTGTAAAATCTTCTCATATGCTAACTTTTTCTCCCTTACTACTCTCTTTACATCATCATTCCACCAATCGCTCCTCTTCCCTCCCGCACCCACTTTCCTGTAACCACAAACTTCTGCTGAACACTCTAACACTACATTTTTAAACCTACCCTATAGCTCTTCGACCCCATTGCCTATGCTCTCATTAGCCCATAAAATTATTGCAGTAAATTTGCAAATTAATGTCTTCATATCACTAAAATAGTTTTATTAAAAAAATAACTTTGTTTCAGTTACTAAATGTAAAAAGAAGTAAAACTTTGCAAAAAGCATTTCTTTTTCAGGTCATGCTGCCTCAGTGGGAGACGGCTGATGTGTTAAAAAGGAACTTTTTCAGGGGTGCTTCCAGAAGTTTTATATAGGAGGGGCTTAGGGGTGGCAGTTTGGCTGGAAAGGCAAGCTAGGGTACTTATTTTGAAGCTGAATTATCATCATTATATTTATTTTGAGGAGCTAGGGGGTTGTTGGAATTTTGAAGAGCTGATAGAATTCCGAGGGGCTGATAGTATTCTGAGGGGCTGATGTTATTCTGAGGGGCTGATGGAATTTTGAGAGGCTGATGGAATTTTGAGGGGCTGATGGGATTTTGAGGAACTGGTGAAATTTTAAGTGCTTGATGGCATTTTGAGGGACCTGTAGACTCCCACCCCATCCTTAGCACTGCCCCTGCTTTGTTTTCAAGGAACTCGATAACGTGTAGAGATGAACTAACCTATTGATAAGCTGTTGCCTGGTGATGCCTGACTGCGCCGCTATCACAGAGTGTTGTGCAAGATCTGCTGTTAGCCGCTCATCATCTTTAGGGTCCTTGGAGGAGTCTGGATGGCCTATAAGACTGTGGCTGTCTCGTAGGTCAAGAGGTGCACCATAGAGGACCCCGGGAGCTGCCCCTGGATACTGTGGCATACGACCCAGGTTGGGTGACTGATGAGTGGGCATTGGGAAGTTGATATGCCGTTGTTGGATAGGAGACTGCAAGAAAAGACAAAGGGTGATGCAGTATAATTCAACTACGTATCTGTAAAATAATGCAATGTTTTCTGTGTTGTACAAATATAACGGACAACAATAACACATGCTCATGAATAATCTTAGCACCTTCTCACACCTTATTTTTAAGCTAAGAATAAAAACTGTAATATATACGTATGTAAAACTGTCACCTTTCAGTTACAATAATGGAGAGTTATGGTGATTTACTGGATAATGAATTCAGAGTGAAAAACTGCCTAAACATGTACTGTAAAAAAGTATATTAATGAAAAACTTTCAAATATAGTGAAGAAAGTTTAACAAAGAGAAGAGTATGATTTTTTCTTTATAGTGTGAACAGTAGAAGAGACAGTGTATACAAGATGTGTATCCACAGCAGCAAATTTTGTGTCCATGGCAGTGAATCTTGTATCCTAGGCAGTGAATCTTACATCTATGGCAATGAATCTTGCATCTACAGCAGTGAATCTCATATCCATGTCAGTGAATCTCAAAAACAATAATTTTTTGCTGGAGTGTGGTGGTGGTACTAATTTCTTCTGATACTGATGAGCTTGAAAAGTAGTGTGAGTATCTGTTAGTAATTACCTATTAAAAATTAAAATTATTTACTCTTATTTGTAGCTACAGAAGCAAAGCTGTGTTTGTCATACCCTGCCTTCAATAATTTGTTGAAACACTTCTTCATCCTTATGTAATTTATTTCATTGATATCTCTATTACTAATACTTAAATATACATTTTTTAAAGTACTTTTCTATTTTCCTTAGGTAAATGTCAATAAATGAAAACCCTTTTTCCTGAAATATTGTTGCGTCTTCTTTCATGAAATGCAGATAAATGAAACCCATTTTTCACGACTTGCTTCTGCACCTTCCCTAGGTATTATTATTCTTATTACAGTATTACATATGTGGAAAGGGAAGCACTAATCCTTTATGATCATACAATATCTGCGGGAATGGAAGGTAGTTGGGTTCATTCCAAGGAAGGAGAAATTCGGTACAATTCCTTGGATCATGTTCATGTTCATGTAGGTTTGCCAGGGAGGGTTCTGGCCTGGGTCTTCTCATGTGGTGATCGGGCAGTGGCTCCTGAAAGAGTGTCAGAGTTGGCACAAATGATGTACAGTTTTCAGCCTATGGCAGGGCAATGGTGAACATTCATGTCAAGTGGTGTAGGTGTTTGTATCTTTCGAGGGTGGCAGCCCTGACAAGGCAGGGTGAGCTTCGCAGGTAAGTGAGTACGTTACAGACCTATGGTGGGCAGGCGCCCTATGACAAGGGGCAGTGACTTCTTTATAAACCAACCATTCCATGGGCAGGGACAGAACCCGCCATCAGAGAATCATAAAACTCCAGACCAATGCGCCCATGGTTCGCAATTGTGTTATTACAATTTCGTAAGTCAAACCTTCTCTGTGTCAGGTGAGTACCAACTACAGCCCTATGGCATGGGCAGCCCTGTGCAAGTTGTGTGAGTTCCTTCTGTCAGTGGATATCATTTACAGTCCTATGGCAGGGGCAGCCCTTTGACAAGGGCACGTTAACTTTTTCAACTCTAATTGAGCCATTCCTGGCACTCAGGCTGCAGTCCAAGTGCCAGAAGAATGCAGTAGATTCTCTGGAGGTCTGCAGAACACCTAACATCTGACAGAAGTGCCATCCTTGGATCAAGAGTCCCTCACTGGCATTAAGGAACCTTCATTGAGGGTGTTTTCTAGGGCCCTGACATATGATGTTACATTTTACACTTTTGATATTGACTCTTTGGAATCAATTAAGTGACTACTGACAGAAATTTATTAAGATCAGCAAGAAACAGCCCTTCCAGTAAGCAAAACAGGTTAAATATTCAAGGTTAATACTGTAGGAAAGGTATTGTTAAATATTTTATTGTTGTTTTACTGTTTAATATATATGCATCATTGAAATATTGTTTTGTTGTATGTGAAACTGAAAAAGAATACCAAAGGTAAAAAGATTGAGTAAAAATTAGATAAGGAAATACTAGGGCTTAGGAAAACATTAACCAATTTTACATTGTTTCTCATGGAAAAAAGGTTCCTATGGAATGTGTATTCAACTTACGATAAATTATCAGGAACACATTAATAATGTAAGCTGGAGCCCTATTATACAAGAATTTTATGTTGGAAGCCCCTCAAGGTACTAATTATCATACCAGTGAGGGGCTCTTAGTCTAAGGATGTGAACCTATTTATCCCTTTCCTAGCCTGATTCTGATTACCACCTATTCCCTGAGCACTATATGACCCCTACAAGTTTAGTGCTTCCCCTGAATCATAGTAATATCTGGAAACAAGTGACCCAGGTTATTCTGGGTCACTTGATTAAAGGTGTAGCAAATGACATATTTTAGATGAAAAATGAAGTATGTACATTACAAAATGCCTCCAAATATTTTGAAAAGTCGAAATATGAAGCAATTTAGATTTTTATGAACTTGTTATATTATTTTTGAAAAATGTGAAATACTGAAAAACATTATAATGATCAAAAACTACTTGTGTCTACTGTTTACTCAAACAAAATCAGGATATATGCATTTAGTTTATAAGAAATTAGATATGAAACCTTGATCAAAATTATTATGGTATAGATATATATTTTCCTCTTAGTCATATGGCTTTGTTTTCAGTGACTCATTGGCTGGTTGCCAAGAGGAGTCTGTGCCTTGAAGTTACTTGTATCTATATTGCTATAACAAGTCAAGGATCAGTGGAGTTCAAGAAGTGCTTCACTATCTCCAGACACTCCTCTTCAACTACAAGACGAGATCATCAACTGTAGTTAAATGCTGACAATCGGTGCACCATGAACAAGTGTGCCAGTATACAATGATTTGAAAGTTTATACACAGACCAGGTCCGGGAAGTTGCTCAGATAGCTATTTGATGCGAGTCTCAGTGTAAGTAATTACCAAATCCTGCAGAGTGAGAATCAGCTGGCAACTGCCGGTTGTTGGCGTATCAATACGCAAGGTGCCAAGTGTCCATTCTACAACATAGGCTCTTCTCAGTGGATGCTCTGGGTAACCTTCACAATAATACGTCAAGCACCTCTTCCAAGGATTCCTTTCACAGAGCAGGAATCGGCCTATTTTAATTTTTGGTCAAATCCAACACAGAAGTCTGCCAGCCATAAACAGGAATCATTGTCTACAGTACCAGCTGTTGTCCTTGGAAACACTACTCCAGCTGACTCCGAACCCTCTGGTACATTGGAGCCAAAGATAGGGCATCCAAAAGATGGCAAGATGAAAGGGAAAGAATTGGTTGAAGCAGCCACTCAACCTAATCTAAAAGGGGGAACTGGAAAAATGAGGACTTTAGCTTGGTCTGCCTACCATGCCTCCCAACAGCTGTCATAATCAAGCATGGTATGGAAGTTCAGCATCAAGCCACTCTATTTATCAACCTGGTAAAATTATGGTAATAGAAATAGATGCCCCCTCTATGTCTTGGCAAAGTATGTTCAATGGAAATGGCCAGACACTAGGAGAGGGTGAGTACATTAATATTCTTGGAAGACTATACATTGCAATGATGATGTGAAGAACATATGGAGATTACTTGAAAAGTTTTGACTGAACATTTGCACTAACATATAAAGATCACCTCATCTAGCACTGGTGACTCATGTCTCCACACACATTTAGTGGACATGTCTCGTCTCACAAGGATGAGTCATGTCCACTAAATGTGTGTCTTGGTTTTCGTCAAATTTCAAATGAGGCACTGATGTCAAGTGGGCAACCGGGCACTGAAAAGGCCGGAATGGCCTGAAGACAAAACATGATCCTCAAATGTCCAACTGACCACTACTGGGTTACCATCCCCAACGTGGAAATTCAGGGCTTCATCTTCGTCAAGGATTTTTACTTGCTAATAACCCGCATAATATAGTTATTAAGTGGTTAAAAATAGTAGCTTAGAATATTAAATTATGGATAGTAAGGTTACCTAGATATCAAATTTCATGATTCCCAGCAAAACATTATAAGTTCAATTAAGTACAGTGGACCCCCGCTTAACGATCACCTCCCAATGCGACCAATTATGTAAGTGTATTTATGTAAGTGCGTTTGTACGTGTATGTTTGGGGGTCTGAAATGGACTAATCTACTTCACAATATTCCTTATGGGAACAAATTCGGTCAGTACTGGCACCTGAACATACTTCTGGAATAAAAAAATATCGTTAACCGGGGGTCCACTGTATTGTGTTGTCTGCATTTTGACCAGAACTAACCCTTGTCAGGCCCAAGGGGACTTCATAATTTTGATAGTGGATTATTAGGAGAAAAACAACATAACCAACATTTGATTGTCAGGTATCAGGAAGTGCCTGAGAAAATTTGATGGTTTTATCCATAATGTCCCCATTTTTGATAAGCTGGCTCGCTGCAGTAGAGAAGTGTGTCCAAGATACATAGTAAAGTTAGCATTAGATTCTGCTTACAAAAGCCACAAGTAACAAACATCCGGACTTATAAACAAGGCATTTAAGAACCATTAATGGTTTACACTAAGAGAGCGACAGTATGAACATGCAAGTTGAAAAAAACAATGTATTTATAAGTCGAGGACCTCGTGTAAGAGAGAGAAAGAGAGAATGGCAGAGTCAGAGAGAAGCATATAGATAGGTAGTTAGACAGAGAGAGAGGAGAGAGAGAGAGAGAGAGAGAGAGAGAGAGAGAGAGAGAGAGAGAGAGAGAGAGAGAGAGAGCATGAACACAACTTAAAACACACATCCAGGCAAGGAAAAAAAGGGTCTACTCAATACTAACCTGAGAGGGAGAGTAGTGTGTTGGAGATATAGGTGATGGAGCAGAAGAGTAGCTGTTGTAGGAGCCTCCATACTGAGAAGCATCGCTGTTGTTACGACTAAGTCCCGTTGAAGGTGTATGACTGGAAAGATTTATCATGATTACATTAATGGATGGTGCGCTAAACCTGTAGAAGTCATGCAGCACCTGATGGCTGGAAAGAACAAGGCAAAATACAATGGTGGCCAAGAAACACATTATATATAAGAAAAACAGGGCATATGCTGCCTAAATAAGGACTTTTATCTCACCTAATCTAATACTTAATTTAGCCTAAAACTTAATCAAACTATTAAATGTAACCAAAAATTTAAATCAATCCCTACATCAGTACAACCTACAGCTTAATACCCATCATCAGCACTGTGTGACCCTTGTGGGTTTAGCACTTATTTAGGATTATAATAATTAACATCCATCCCCCTCAGTGGAGGATCCCTTATTGTGGAAAATAATTTCCAAAAATTATGCTGTGTAAATAAACCTGATTAATACATTACTATTCCTCTAAAGTGTATTTTAAAGAAGTGAACCAACAGGGAAGCTCTGCGCCTGCACTGACGAGCAGGGAAGAGACGCCATTGTTTTTTTAATGCGATACAAGCACGTTAGTGTAATGTGAATAATTTTCCGTCGCTCTAGGGGTTATATTGGGCTTATAACCTCTCAAATAGGAGCCGAAATTGTTGGATGTGCAGTCCTGCATAACGTGAGCATTTAGCAGACAGACAGGACAGCTCCAAGAACCTCAGATAAGTTGTCTTTATGTTGAAATTCTGGCCAGTATTTTCTCCATATTAGACAGGGGGTTCTGTACATGACACACAGTAATCTCCAGACTAATTGGTGAGTGTTATGATTATAAATTCTCCTTCTGTTACATAAATGTGTATATGTAATCATTTATTAATTTTAACATACAGTCCACAAATTTATATTAATGTTTACCATAATTCCTGGTAATATATATTTCATTTGAAATTAATATAGGTCAAGAGTGACTTGTGGATATGACACAGTAGGTATCGAAGGGGGACATTTTTTGTGACCCAGATGTCCTAAAATTCCTACTTGTCTATGTAACTTTGATAAATAATAATTATCTTTGTTACCATTTACTGGCATTTATCTTATGAGTTACATCCAGGTAAATTTAATTTTCCACACTTATGTTGGTGTGCAGCTCTTGGTCCAATCAACGAACTTATCCTCCCCTTCCTTGGCTCGATCCTGAGTGCCTCACACTCCCCCTAATAATAATAATAATAATAATAATAATAATAATAATAATAATAATAATAATAATAATAATATAACCTATAACTTAACATAATCTACAGCTTGGCAAAACCTACAGTTTAAAATAACCTATATCTAGCTCAGTGTAACTTCTAACTTAATATAACTTGTAATTCAACTACAGAATTGTTGAATCATATAACAAGGTAACAAATCCAAAAGTAAAATTCAAACAAATCACAGAAACAACGATATTAAAACTAAATAAATCATAGTTTAATGTATCCTCATCCTGGGGAAACTTGGCTTGCATTACCAAGAAGCGTTAAACCCTTAGGGATCATACTGCCTGTGGCAGGGGCAATGCTATAAGGGGGTTTGGGGGGCTTATACCCCCCTCAAAATTCAATCAGCCTCCCAAAAATGATAACGATCACTGTATCAATAATAATAATAATAATAATGCCCAAAGCCCGGGGAATGGACGGCAATCATGTTTGATCCAAAGAAATGGAGAATGGCTCCAAATCCCCTGGATCAGGAACCATTCACCAGTGTCGGGGTTAAGTGAACTGAACTCCAACTCCTGAACTTGCTACTCATTTACCTACCTGTAATTACCTTAATTGATGCTGCAGGAGCAGTTATGTCCTGTCTTCAGTAATTGGTTATTTGGTTGGTTTAATTAGGTTTAAAAGCTTATCGACCACAAGTGAGTCATTTGAGGCTGCAATTAACGTGACTATTAATTCCACTTTATTATACTTTATATATATATAATATATATATATATATATATTATATAAAATATATATATATATATATATATATATATATATATATGCTTATGTGCCTGAATTTTCCCAGCCGGGTTCCAAATAGTCAGATGAGATGATACAGCAGCAAAGCAGAACAATGCACACAATTAAAAAGTTACATTCGTTTCTGAAGTTTCTCTATACGTAAACGGATGAGTCCGTATTCTTGCATTAATGTTTATGTAAAATGTTAATTGCACCAAAGATCCCCACAACTCACAGCATACTAATTCAATGGCAACTTCATTTGCGATAACTTTGCCAACTTAAAATCATTTAGGGATTTATATCTAAAGGTGCCATACACCAGTGAAATTTAAGCTTTTTTAGCGGTCAAATGAAATTTGGCGTCCACAACTTAGAAACACAAATTTCACTCACATTGCGCAATTGAGCGTTGCTAATTTAGCAGATCGCAAATTCCTGATCGTCACGACATCTATACATATATATAATGCATATATATAATAAAGGATATATTTCTTGCATATTAGAATTCAAAAGTATGCCCAAGAAATTTTCCCTAATGGAAATTGGCTTACCAGCATAGTCGAGATATGAGATGATGAAGGCAACACGAAGCAGGGAAACAATCAACAACAATGAAAGAAGGCACATGTCAGGTGTGGGGGAGAGTTTCGAAACACGCAACAGGGACGGCCGTATTCGTGCACACAATGGATGTGCGGATCACATAAGCCCCCAGCAAGAGCAGCCCACAGCCTCCCCAGGCAGATGACAATTCCAATGGGGAACCTCGTCACTTGCGATAACCTTTGGCATTCAAATCCATGCTACATAAAACTATCCCATATCCCTAAAGCGGCTCGCCCATATGCAGCAGGGAAATTCACAGACCTTCTTAAGCGGGTGAATGGAGGTTCCACCAACTTAGAAGCCCGAGGCACCATCCAAGCATGGCGCAACCTACTCTTGTTCAGCAATGTCTGTCTTGCAGTTCCTGAAAGACGAGGCAAACTCCTAACCACGTCAGTTATCAAGGCAGTGCACAACTACCCAAGAACGGACAACTGTGTCCCTCTGCCCCATCATCGCAGGAATCAAAGAGGAAGACCCAAGAAAAGTCCCACTGAAAATGAGGAAATTTGCGCACAGGTTAGCAAAAAAATCGAAGAAGGTAACACAGTGGGAGCAATAAGAATAATTACAAGTGATGACACTGTAGCCCCCAAGGATGAGACCACGGCCCAAGCACTAAGAGACAAGCATCCAACCAGGAACACCATAGCCATCAACGACAACCCTGAGGAAGACCCCATCATTGAACAATTAATTTTGCCAGAATCGGAAGTCTATAAGGCGATCGTGTCATTTCCAGCAGGATCTGCAGGAGGTTATACTGGAATTCGACCTCAGCACCTCAAAGAGATGGTAAATCCAGTACTCGGTGAATCTGCATCAATTCTTCTCACCGAGTTAACAACTTTCGTCAACAATTGCCTGACTGGGCGAATCCCAAAAGAAATTGAACCTTTCTTTTTTGGAGCCTCACTATGTGCTTTGAAGAAGAGGGATGGGGGAATCAGACCCATTGCAGTTGGAAACACCCTTCGCCGTCTCGTTGCCAAAGCAGCAGTGAGAAACATTTGCCCAGAAGCTGCCACTTTACTCCAGCCACACCAACTGGGCTTTGGGGTCTCTCAAGGCAGTGAAGCTGCAGCTCATGCCGCAAGGGCCTACATCAGGGACCTACCAGAAGACAAGGCCACAGTCAAACTTGATTTTAGAAATGCCTTTAATATAGTGAAGAGAGATGCTGTTTTGCCAGCTGTTCGGGATCAGTTCCCCAGTCTTTTTCCCTTCATTTCAGCCGGCTACAGCAAACCCTCAATTCTTTTGTTTGGAGAACATGAAATTCAGTCATCAGAGGGTGCTCAGCAGGGTGACCCACTCGCTCCACTTCTCTTCTGCTTGGCAGTAAGAGAACTAATTTCCAGCCTACGCAGTGAGCTCAATATCTGGTACCTGGATGACGGCACTCTGGCAGGTACTGAAGAGTCCCTGGTGGAGGACCTACAACTGGTGAAAACACAGGGAGAAGACTTGGGACTCATCCTCAATCCCTCCAAGTGTGAAATCATCACAGCGAACCAGGAAATAATCAATGCTGTGCGAAGAATCCTCCCGGAAGTCTCAACTACCACTCCGTCCAACAGTACCCTCTTGGGGGCACCGCTGGGTCACCAGGCCATCAACACTGTCCTCAGGGACAAATTGAATGACCTGATGAGAATGGAGGAGAGAATAAGCGATCTTGATGCCCATGATGCTCTGTATCTCACAAGGTGTCTTACTATGCCAAGACTCACTCACTTCTTGAGGTGTGCACCCTCTTTTGACAACCCAACACTCGATGAATATGACGCACACCTGATATCAACTTTTAAGAAGGCACTGAACCTGTCACTAGAGGATGAGCAATGGGATCAGGCAACCCTCCCAGTGTGACTGGGAGGTATAGGGGTGAGTAAAGCAACGCATGTTGCTTTACCTGCTTTTCTGTCTTCGTGTTTGGCTTCCGGTGCATTAATCAAGAAGATAGTACCCGAACGCTTGAGAGACATGGTAGGAGCTCAAGACCCCAGGTTTACTGAAGCAGCGATTCGGGGGACACCCTTACAGACTCCTCCAGTAGACCAGCTCCTCCCAAACAGCACAAACAGTCCCACTGGGACAAACCGATCATGGAAAAAATCGCCAACACAATGCTCTCCAATGCTTCAGGAAAGGACAAAGCTCGTCTCCGGGCAGTGAAGGCACCACACTCAGGAGATTTCTTGTTAGCTGTTCCCAATTCCTCCCTGGGCACCCGTCTCGACCCACAGGCCATTTGGATTGGTGTTGCTCTTCGCCTAGCCGCCCCCATCCTCACCGAACATAGGTGTATTTGCGGCAGTGCGACAGCTGATCAATTCGGACTTCATGGTCTTGTGTGTCACACAGCAGAAGGGAAGTATGGCAGACATGAGGAGGTCAATGACATCATCAAGAGAAGCCTCACCACAGCCCGTTGCCCAGCTCAACGGGAACCCCAAGTACAGAGGTCTGATGAAAGTCAAAAGCATCCTGATGGAGCCACTATGCTACCCTGGAAGGATGGAAAGCAGATTGCCTGGGACTACACCTGTGCTGCCACATTGGCAGACACCTACTTGCCATACTCCGTAGTGGAATAGGGTGGAGCTGCCAGCCACAGGGAGACCCAGAAGATCCGAAAATATGAAGACCTTCCCCCTTGCTATAACTTCATTCCAATAGGGTCGGAGACCCTTGGAGCATGGGGCAAGTGTGCTCTAAAGTTCCTAATAGAGCTGGGTGAAAAGCTCATCATAGAAACCAAGGACCACAGGGCGACCAGCTTTCTCTTTCAGAGACTCAGTGTTGCGATCCAGAGAGGAAATGCCTGCAGCATTCTGGGCACGCGGCCCACTGCAGGGGAGCTGGACGAAGTATTCGAGATGTAGCTCTGAGTTACCTATATTGTTTTGCTTTCTGTTGTATTTTTGTGAATGTTTGGCAAATGTATTTTTGTCTTTAAATAAAACATACTTGAAATATAGAGGGTGGTAGGAGAAAATTCTTAAACAGCTTCAGGGAAAACCTTGAGTTTTCCCTGAAGCAAGTTTATTCTTTTCTCTGAGGATGAGGGTCCCCATGACAGTCCTATATAATATATATATATATATATATATATATATATATATATAAATATATATATATATATATATATATATATATATATATATATACACACACTTATGGTTAAATTTATGTTAAATTAGGCATAATTATTCCCCCCTCGGCTAAAAGTGATAACCCAAAAATAACGTAATGTAACCTTAACAAATATTTGTTTTGTTGTTGGTGGCTGGGTTGTCACAGTCACTACGATGGTAATGACCGTTAATGTGCTTGTTGGGTTTAAAGCCTACCACTGTAAGTGGGTCGTTAACACTGCGGTTTACCTCTATGCTCACATCAACAAATATTTTAAATCCTTGATATCCGGAAAAAAATAAATTCGGTACTGAGAGATACAAAATTGTCGGTGTATAACTGGAGGGGGGGCTTCGGGGGTCGACGCCCCCGCGGCCCGGTCCGTGACCAGGCTCTAAGTAACTAAGACAATCCTCTCGGTGTATAGACACTGAGATACAAACTTTTTTGGGGGTATATAAACAGTGAAATATACAAATCTTTCGGTGTATATTCATATACCAAGAACTACAAGCCTCGACGTGTATATATACCGAGATATCCACGGACTGATGGACTGACCACATCGGCTCAAGGTTGAGGGACTGATTACCTCATTCTCCTCCTGTTCTTCACGTTTCTCCTTCGTATGGACTGATGAAGCCACTGTGTGGCGAAACGTTTCCTCAATAAAGATACCCAAGAGTTGCACTTGTGTCTAATTTATCAGCTTGTCGGTCTCTGAACCATTCATCTACAATCCACGGCTATATCTGAGACGAGCTTCACTATAAATAATGACCATAGCCATTCGCTATTGATGTTTCCAAAATATGTCAGTAAATAAGGCTCAGTAACTAGTACCACTGTGGTGCAGCACCACTGTGTAGTACCACTGTGGTGCAGTACCACTGTGGTGCAGTACCACTGTGGTGCAGTACCACTGTGGTGCAGTACTACTGTGGTGCAGTACCACTGTGGTGCAGTACCACTGTGGTGCAGTACCACTGTGGTGCAGTACTACTGTGGTGCAGTACCACTGTGGTGCAGTACCACTGTGGTGCAGCACCACTGTGGTGCAGTACCACTGTGGTGCAGTACCACTGTGGTGCAGTACCACTGTGGTGCAGTACTACTGTGGTGCAGTACCACTGTGGTGCAGTACCACTGTGGTGCAGCACCACTGTGTAGTACCACTGTGGTGCAGTACCACTGTGGCGCAGTACCACTGTGGTGCAGTACCACTGTGGTGCAGTACTACTGTGGTGCAGTACCACTGTGGCGCAGTACCACTGTGGTGCAGTACTACTGTGGTGCAGTACTACTGTGGTGCAGTACCACTGTGGTGCAGTACTACTGTGGTGCAGTACCACTGTGGTGCAGTACCACTGTGGTGCAGTACCACTGTGGCGCAGTACCACTGTGGTGCAGTACCACTGTGGTGCAGTACTACTGTGGTGCAGTACCACTGTGGCGCAGTACCACTGTGGCGCAGTACCACTGTGGTGCAGTACTACTGTGGTGCAATCAAGATGTCAACGGCACCAGTAAGATAAGATTATTAAAGTCTATTCAGACAGTCTAGATAAATAAGGTACAAGCCACGTGTGCAGCCTATCGACTGCCGATGGGTCATTGAGGCTGTACACTTTAATCAATAATGCTTATTTTATATTCATGAGGAAGCGCTGAACCCATACTGGTCATATAGGTGCCTGGGTGATAGTCGGCTGGTGTGGGTCGCATCCTGGGCACAAAATTAACCTAATTTGCCCGAAATGCTCTGAATAACAAGGGGCTCTCTATATAGTAATGTCATTGACGTCAGCTATGGTCTGTATACATTGTATATGTATTTGTAGAAATAAAGATTATTATTATTATTATTATTATTATTATTATTATTATTATTATTATTATTATTATTATTATTATTATTATTATTATTATTGTTGTTGTTATAGTCAAGAACACTTTAATCTCCAAGGATTCTTTGAAAAGGGATTACAGCAACCTCTTACTGTATATACACCGTGTGTAGTTCTTCAAGGAAGGTGCACGGACCCAGCTAGGATGATCTCGATCCATGGAATGGGATCTATCCCTCCCTTCCCTGGATGAAAGTGGACTTTACCTCCTACTCCCTAGGAGCTATATAAACCGCCACGCCTATAGCACTCCCCATGAATACCAACACTCATTTCTACAGGCGAATAGAAGTGTGTGGGTAAGTTTTTACCTGTACGGTGAGGAGAAGCCGGAGACATGTCTGCTGGGTCCCGGCGACTGTGTGGGTGAGTAGAGGTGGGTGGGGGAGTGGGCGTGTGGGTGTAGGCGTGAGAGGAGAGGGCTCTGGCTGGGCGTGTAGGGGCCAGGATGAACCTCACATCCTGAGTCACTTCTGGCAGGTACCGGTGAGTCTGTGTGTGAGGCTGGCTGAGACGAGAACACCGTCCCTTCCTCACTGCTCTCTTCCACTTTCACCTGTAACCAAACCAAACATTACTGAAATTTGTATTTTTTTCTTAGAATGGCGTGAGTTTATTTAGGTACAGGTAAGCAAATAAGTTTATTTAGGTACAGGTAAGCAAATAAGTTTATTTAGGTACAGGTAAGCAAATAAGTTTATTTAGGTACAGGTAAGCAAATAAGGTACACGGAAGTACAATTATCATACATAGTGTAAATTAACTAGAATAACCCATAAAAAAAGCCTCCCGTTCCCACTAGGTGCTGTACGACCTCCTACGGGTTTAGTGCTCCCCACAAATGCCATAACAATAATCACCATGACCATGGCGTAATAGCGCACAAAATACGTGCTAAAGGAATAACAGGAAAAGTTGGTAGATGGATCTATAATTTCCTCACAAACAGAACACAAAGAGTAGTAGTCAACAGAGTAAAGTCTGAGGCGGCTACGGTGAAAAGCTCTGCTCCTCAAGGCACAGTACTCGCTCCCATCTTGTTTCTCATCCTCATATCTGACATAGACAATGATGTCAGCCACAGCACCGTGTCTTCCTTTGCAGATGACACCCGAATCTGCATGACAGTGTCTTCCATTGCAGACACTGCAAGGCTCCAGGCGGACATCAACCAAATCTTTCAGTGAGCTGCAGAAAACAATATGAAGTTCAGCGAAGAGAAATTTCAATTACTCCGATATGGTAAACATGAGGAAATTAAAACTTCATCAGAGTACAAAACAAATTCTGGCCACAAAATAGAGCGAAAACCCAACGTCAAAGACCTGGGAGTGATCATGTCGGAGGATCTCACCTTCAAGGACCATAACATTGTATCAGTCGCATCTGCTAGAAAAATGACAGGATGGATAATGAGACCCTTCAAAACTAGGGATGCCAAGCCCATGATGACATTCTTCAGGTCGCTTGTTCTATCTAGGCTGGAATATTTCTGCACACTAACAGCACCTTTCAAGGCAGGTGAAATTGCTGACCTAGAAAATGTACAGAGAACCTTCACGGCGCGCATAACGGAGATAAAACACCTCAATTACTGGGAGCTTTTGAAGTTCCTGAACCTGTACTCCCTGGAACGCAGGCGGGAGAGATACATGATTATATACACCTGGAAAATACTAGAGGGACTAGTACCGAACTTGCACACGAAAATCACTCACTACGAAAGCAAAAGACTTGGCAGACGATGTAACATCCCCCAATGAAAAGCAGGGGTGTCACTAGCACGTTAAGAGACAATACAATAAGTGTCAGGGGCCCGAGACTGTTCAGCTGCCTCCCAGCATATATAAGGGATATTACCAACAGACCCCTGGCTGTCTTCAAGCTGGCACTGGACAAGAACCTAAAGTCGGTACCTGACCAGCCGGACTGTGGCTCTTACGTTGAATTGCGTGCAGCCAGCAATAACAGCCTGGTTGATCAGACTCTGATCCACCATAAGGCCTGGTCACAGACCGGGACGCGGGGGCATTGACCCCCGGAACTCTCTCCAGGTAAACTCCAGGTAAACTAAAGGGAGAAGCTACTACTGTACGCTCTGGCAGGACCAACAACGTCTCCATTATTTTTTTTTCTAGTTGTTGCAGCACTACTTCCTTTTTCAGTTTATTCCACTAGGTGAGTACCACTAGGTGAGTACCACTAGGTGAGTACCACTAGGTGAGTACCACTAGGTGAGTACCACTAGGTGAGTACCACTAGGTGAGTACCACTAGGTGGGAGTACCACTAGGTGCTACCTGTATACCACTTGATACACTAGTGAGTACCACTAGGTGACGTACCACTAGGTGATACCACTAGGTGAGTACCACTAGGTGAGTACCACTAGGTGAGTACCACTAGGTGACATGTGACCACTAGGTGAGTACCACTAGGTGAGTACCACTAGGTGAGTACCACTAGGTGAGTACCACTAGGTGAGTACCACTAGGTGACTACCACTAGGTGAGTACCACTAGGTGAGTACCACTAGGTGAGTACCACTAGGTGAGTACCACTAGGTGAGTACCACTAGGTGAGTACCACTAGGTGAGTACCACTAGGTGAGTACCACTAGGTGATACCACTAGGTGAGTACCACTAGGTGACTACCACTAGGTGAGTACCACTAGGTGAGTACCACTAGGTGAGTACCACTAGGTGAGTACCACTAGGTGACTACCACTAGGTGACTACCACTAGGTGAGTACCACTAGGTGAGTACCACTAGGTGAGTACCACTAGGTGAGTACCACTAGGTGAGTACCACTAGGTGAGTACCACTAGGTGAGTACCACTAGGTGAGTACCACTAGGTGAGTACCACTAGGTGAGTACCATTAGGTGAGTACCACTAGGTGAGTACCACTAGGTGAGTACCACTAGGTGAGTACCACTAGGTGAGTACCACTAGGTGAGTACCACTAGGTGAGTACCAATAGGTGAGTACCACTAGGTGAGTACCACTAGGTGATAGTATATCCACTAGGTGAGTACCACTAGGTGAGTACCACTAGGTGAGTACCATAGGTGAGTACCATAGGTGAGTACCCGGTGAATCAATATTGATTACCATTAGGTGAGTACCACTAGGTGAGTACCACTAGGTGAGTACCAATAATTGATTACCATTAGGTGAGTACCACTAGGTGAGTACCACTAGGTGAGTACCAATAATTGATTACCATTAGGTGAGTACCACTAGGTGAGTACCAATAATTGATTACCATTAGGTGAGTACCACTAGGTGAGTACCACTAGGTGAGTACCAATAATTGATTACCATTAGGTGAGTACCACTAGGTGAGTACCACTATCATACCATAGGTGAGTACCACTAGGTGAGTACCACTTGATGAGTACCAATAATTGATTACCACTAGGTGAGTACCACTAGGTGAGTACTACTAGGTGAGTACCAATAATTGATTACCATTAGGGAGTACATATGATTACCACTAGGTGAGTACTCATTAGGTAAGTACCACTGAGTGAGTACCAATAATTGCTATTACCACTAGGTGAGTACCATAGGTGAGTACCACTAGGTGAGTACCACTAGCTGAGTACCACTAGGTGAGTACCACTAGGTGAGTACCACTAGGTGAGTACCATAAGTGAGTTACCACTAGGTGAGTATCCACTAGGTGAGTACCACTGTGGTCATAGGTAGTACCAATAATTGATTACCACTAGGTGAGTACCTATGAGTACAATAATGATTACCACTAGGTGAGTATCATTAGGTGAGTACCACTAGGTGAGTACCAATAATTGATTACCACTAGGTGAGTACCACTAGGTGAGTACCAATAATTGATTACCACTAGGTGAGTACCACTAGGTGAGTACCAATAATTGATTACAACTAGGTGAGTACCACTAGGTGAGTACCAATAATTGATTACCACTAGGTGAGTATCATTAGGTGAGTACCACTAGGTGAGTACCACTAGGTGAGTACCAATAATTGATTACCACTTGGTGAGTACCACTAGGTGAGTACCAATAATTGATTACCACTAGGTGAGTATCATTAGGTGAGTACCACTAGGTGAGTACCACTAGGTGAGTACCAATAATTGATTACCACTAGGTGAGTATCATTAGGTGAGTACCACTAGGTGAGTACCAATAATTGATTACCACTAGGTGAGTACCACTAGGTGAGTACCAATAATTAATTACCACTAGGTGAGTATCATTAGGTGAGTACCACTAGGTGAGTACCAATAATTGATTACCACTAGGTGAGTATCATTAGGTGAGTACCACTAGGTGAGTACCACTAGGTGAGTATCAATTCATTACCACTAGGTGAGTATCATTAGGTGATACCACTAGTGAGTACCAATAATTGATTACCACTAGGTGAGTATCATTAGGTGACCACAGTGAGTAACTAGGTGAGTACCAATAATTGATTACCACTAGGTGAGTACCACTAGTGAGTACCACTAGTTGAGTACCATAATTGATTACCACTAGTGATACCACTAGGTGAGTATCACTAGATTGAGTTACCAACTAGGTGAGTTCATAGGTGAGTACCACTAGGTGAGTACCAATAATTGATTACCACTAGGTGAGTATCATTAGGTGAGTACCACTAGGATGATTACCACTATAAAGGTGAGTACCTAATTCATTACACTAGGGAGCACTAGGTGAGTATCATTAGGTGATTACCACTAGTGAGTATCATTAGTAATTGATTGTACCACTAGGTGGTATATATCATAGGTGAGTACCACTAGGTGAGTACCAATAATTGATTACCACTAGGTGAGTACCACTTTGATGATACCATAGGTGAGTTACCACTAGGTGAGTACCAATAATTGATTACCACTAGGTGAGTACACTAGTGAGTACCAACTAGGTGAGTTCACTAGGTGAGTATCACATAGTGAGTACCAATAATTGATTACCACTAGGTGAGTACCACTAGGTGAGTACCAATAATTGATTACAACTAGGTGAGTATCACTAGGTGAGTACCAATAATGATTACATAACCTAGGTGAGTATCCACTAGTGAGTACCTAGAATGATTACCACTAGGTGAGTATCATTAGGTGAGTACACATAGTTGAGTTACCACTAGGTGAGTACCAATAAGTGATACCACTAGTGTGAGTACCACTAGGTGAGTCCACACCCATTATTGATTACCACTAGGTGAGTACCAATTATTGATTACCACTAGGTGAGTACCACTAGGTGAGTACCAATAATTGATTACCACTAGGTGAGTACCACTAGGTGAGTACCAGTATACACTGTGATACAACTAGGTGAGTATCACAGAGTGAGTACAATACATTGATACCACTGGGGTCGGTGGTAGTACCACTAGTGTTAGTATCACTAGGTGAGTACCAATAATTGATTACCACTAGGTGAGTACCACTAGGTGAGTACCAATAACTGATTACCACTAGGTGAGTACCACTAGGTGAGTCCCAATAACTAATTACCACTAGGTGAGTACCACTAGGTGACTACTATTAGGT